ATCCTCAGATGGAATACCTCCATGGTATTCCTGGCTACGCTCTGACAGATACCACTACTGGCTACACTCTGATAGATACCCCTCCTCAGTTCTTCACAGAAACTGAATGGCTTCCTGCATTTTCTCCTTCAACCATAAAACTTCAGTATCTAACAGCATGTCTTCCTAGAAAAAGTTGCCATGGAGATTTCTTTATGTAATTAACATGTTCTCAGATCCTTAGGAATCAGCACCAAAACTCATAATCTTAGCAAGGTCTTGAAAATTACTGATCTGCTGCTAACATCTACAACCTTTGCAAAAATGAGAACCTAAAGCTGACTATGAAATGGGGGAAAAAATCTCAAAGGGAAAGGTTTTCCTTTTGAGGGGAGGAGGAATTATACCAGAGCTCCATACCAAAATTATATTTATTTTGGTTTTAAATTCATGGGAATACATACACATGCAGTAAAAATCTGCACAAAGTCAGAAAGAGAGATCAAGGTTCAAAGAAAAACTGGGATTTCATTCATGTTCCTTCATTTTAGCACATGCACAGACACACACACACACAGAAGCAAGCCAACCCTAACCCTAGCCCTTCCCTCTAAGATTAGCCCTCAACTCCAGCTCTCCAGCATTTCAACACTCCAAGCCACTACAAATCATGGGATCTAACAGTCTGATTAACACGACCTTCCACAAAATTGAAAACAATGTGTTAACACTTCTCTGAGGAGTTTTACATTCTTACTGATAGTGAAGACAAAACAGAATAGGGAAGATAGCACAGAGTAATCTTTTTTTCAATGGGTGTGTTGCTGAATCCTTGAATTTAATGTTATAACCAGTCTTTAATGAGATTTGTTCCAAAGCCAGATGCTATCAAGATAAACCTTTACATAGATCACAGTCCCTCTTCCTCATTTTCCCTCTGTATTTCCTGAAGGGCCTCTATTCATCCAGTGCAGCACTCCAGCCAGGAGAGCTGTCTTACCACACTTGCAGAATCTCAGTGAGGTTAGTAATTTGTCCTGCTTTTCCCATGCTATTTGCTTTTGTGTGCAGGCATTTGAGATGGGCCCCGTGTCCTGCTGCATTTACAGATGGGTAAGAGCCTCTTTGTCAGGACTGTCACCTAGACATACCTGCTCTGCCCCTTATGATCTTTTATCTTCAGATTATGGTAACCTTCCATACCCAGTCTAATAATCTTCCCAGCAGATTAGTAAATCTAGTTTGCTAAGATACTACACTTCGGTAGAGTTATTCCATCCCTGCTCAGTAGGCCTCATTCCTCTGGCCACAGAAGCCAAAGCCTCCTCTTCAACACAAGCCATACTATACAGTCCAATTCTCCTCCCTGGACTGGGGAAGATAAGATCAGAGCTCCCCCCTCTACACCCTCATCCCTTGACTTCTGTAGTCTCTCTTTATATGCTCCAGGTTACCTCCAGAGCAGTACTCCTGGTACCCACAACAAAGAGGTCCATGTTAGAAGGCTGAACAAATCTTGTGAGTGCATCTGCAACAATCTCAGATCCTGGCATCCACCAAGCAATAAAACTCCTGAGACATCAGGTGAGATGAGAAAATACATGCCCTGATCATCGACAAGAGGAATCTTCAGTAACTACCTGTGCCGGGTACCCATTGCTTCTGACACCTGGTACAGCACTGTTGCCAGAGTATGGTGACACCCATTACAGAACAAGGAAGTGTAATAGTGTACGAGATGCTCATATTCAGGATGGCAAAAGTCGTGATCCCTCGGTAGTCAGGGATGCCTCCCATGACTGTTCACTCAACTCCTTTTCAGATTTTGGCTAACACACAGCTCATGCTAAGGCCTGATATATGATGGGAGCAGCACCATTAGCACTGCTGTAGGCAGTACTCAATGGACTGGAAGAGATAAATATCATCATGCAGTCATTATCACCTGCAACCTTCTGCCACCTGCAGCCAAAATTCTTGCATACTGATTGTCTGGCAGCCCCTTCAGAATCCACTAACTTGAGGAAATTGTATAGACCAAAGGCCCAGACTGAGAGGTACAAATAGATCAGCTTATCCAAAAGGTTTTTGAAGCAGATCCTAGAGCAGACAGACTGCTAAGGCTTTTGTCCTTCTACAGGGGACACTCACACCTCAGTAGAAGAGGAAACAGAGTGGGGGGAACCTCACTGTAGGCTAGACAATCATGACACTCCCTCTGTCATTGTTCTTCTTACATACTTTTTAAAGTTAGAGTCCAGATTATGATGATTATATTGTACACTGATTATTAAGAATTTGACCTGATCTGCAGAGTGTTCAGGTGACTGAAAAGTATAGGTAACTGCAATTTAGGTAATAATATGAAAGCTATCCTAATTGCTAGAAATTAAGTGTAATGAAAAAAATCTTTCTATAGTAATAATGCTCTAATTATAACTACAAACCTGTGGCCAGTTCTCATTCCACCAAGGATCCTTAAAAGAACCTGTCTGTCCCCATAGTGAGATAGTGTTGGTTGGCACTATCACTCATTTTTTCCCTTTTGTGTGAACACTAAGTTCAGGCTCAGTTGACTTTGATGGGTCTTGTTGATACTCACCAGTGCCTAGAATACTATATGTATTCTGAAATTGGAGAATTGTAGGTGGAATAGATCTGCGACTGCTGCCAGAAGTCACAAGCTCCCAGCCTTCTCTATCTCCATAGTCTCCATCCACTTGGTCTCCTCTAGCTGTCACTCCTTCCTCACCTTGTGTACGTTGAGTTTTCCACAAATACAATGTCAGTCTTCTCTTCATCTTTCCCGTCAATCTGGAGCCTCAGGGTCTTGACCACAGCACATTTCCCACAAGAGAGGCAACCACTGCCATGACCTCCAGGAAGACACAGGAGCTCTGAAGCACAGGACGTGGATATAGGACTCCTTCCTATAGAGCCAAGGACTCTGATGTGCTAATGGCAGTCCTATAGACTTCTACTAATGGATGTCCATGTGCTGGGCAGTATATCCTGCAGCTTTTTCAGACTACCACTGTAGAGTCTTCAAGCAGATCCACATAGCCTTAAGTGGAATTTCTAGGCCTCTTTGCACTTCTGCTGCAACACCTGTTTTGTCTCATTTACCACACTCTGTGGGCTGCACTCTGGCTTCCCTGCTCTTTCCCTAACAGGTCCATTTTTGTGAGAATTCGATCTTGCCCACATCACCATTACCCTAAGCACCCATCACCTAGCTTTTAAAGTGCTGTCACTGCTGTACTGCCCTGCCACCCACACTACTCTCACAGTAAATGTGACTGGATTGAGCCCCAAATACCCTGATCTGGATTTGAAGTTTGCCATCCTGTCAGCAGGTTTGAATGACATCAACCCAGGTCTCTTGCAGTTGAAATTATTCTGCATTTCTATGTCAGGGACCCTGATGAATATACACTGAAGTTCAACCGGTTTCATTTTAAGAGCGAGCAATGACCAAAGCAAGTATCTGTTCCACAGGAAGTGTAGAAATGCATTCAATATTGTTATGGCACATAGCTTTTAGTACAGAAAAAGAAAGAACCTCAGTCTTGCTCTTGTAACCTTTGGGTAGAAGTGAGGATAACTAAAAGGCCCTAGACTTCATTTACATGTCTGATTATAAGCTGTCAAAGTTACATGACCTGCACTGTATATTTTATTGACAGATCGAATGAGCTAATAAAGCTACCAGGTTCATTAACCCCTATAACTTTCTGTTGTTTTTCTTCCTGTGTGACCAAGCCAACCATACGTCTTCTGTTGCACATTAGAAAGCAGCCCAAAATTCACTCGGTTTCACTGTCTGGCCGCTGAGCCTTCTCAACCACATCAAACAGGGATTTCTGTAATTCCATAACATTCCGAAGGAAAAAGAAAAATAATAAACAGAAAAAGAAAAAAACCACCTTCTATCACAACATACACTAAAATCCTCATACGAAGGTAAATTTTCCAGCTGTCCTGTTGAAGCAGTGTTGCCACTCAGTACAGACATAAGCCCTCCCCTAACTGCCTCCCCAAAATACCCAGTACAAAAAATAAGAAGCTAAGACACAAAAATTCCCACATGCTGCTGAAGTATTCTTATCCACAAGCTTCACTTAATCATGCTTTCAACTCCTTCCCTAATATGTTTAGATTAATGTGTCAGTAGTCACAGTTAAGTTTTCTGTCTGGAACTTGAACCAAATCTATAACTCAAAAGAGATCTTTCCACTTGACATTTACACGGATCATTTGTACAGAACAGATTTCTGGAAAGATTATATTTTCATTCACCATTCTAAAGCCAAAATTCAGGAGGATCACAAATTTTAAGCAGATGAACTAAACTGACAGAACTATTCAAGCTGATGGTAAACACTCCAGTATGTCCTACAGGCTAAAAGCTTGCCTAGCCTGAGCATTTAAAAGGACAACCAAACTTATGTAGAGTAGGTTTTATAACTTCCTTTTCAAACATAAAGCTTAATACCAATACTTTAAAATGAAAAAGAAAGAACATTATAGTTCTGACAGACTTGGAATAAACAAAAAAAGAAAAAGACCATATGATAATTTTTCTCAGATTTCCAGTGTTCTGGGATTCACATGATGCAATTAAATGTATTTTATGATGTCTTTAGTCTTTGGCATTTCACACAACATCTTAGAACTGTTTAATGAGGTTCTAAATTTAATTTCCTTCTACTCTCTTTGATTTTATACACCCCCCTCATGAACATTTCTTTGTTCTAATCATACACAAGAGCTCAGAAGTTTCCTGACAGTGCTGCTAGGTGGTACTACAATTCTGAGCAGAAGCAATGACAGTGCCACACAAGAATACATAGCAGTGCAATACTCAGCTGTTGCATAATCTTTGCTCGCAGTAGTTGTTGCCTGTGGGCTTCCAGAGGAATTGGATTTGTGGATTGTAAAGGGAAGCAGGTGAATACAACAACACTGCAGTGGAACAAAGGACAGGTAGAAACAGTCTGTCCATCAGATCAGTAACATACCGTTACTCCAGATATAACTGGGCCTTTTCCTTCAATTAGTTTATACATTTCTTGAAGTGCCTCCTCTTCACTCTTGCCTTTAAATCGCTTCTTGGCGAGTTCTTGAAGAGCTTCCTTAAACTGATCAAAAGTAATTGTTCTGAGGGACTTTCCCCTGTTGAAACAAACAGCAATTGAAAGAAATTACAAGAGAGCATAAAAAACATTCCAAGAATAGCAGAATGGCTTTGGTTTACCACAGTGAACAACATAAAACTGCAACAGAACAGGAAGACCCATGCAGCCTATTTATGGCATCAAATAAAACATATCCTAGGAACATCACTTTTGTTTTTTATGTACATCAATAGGACAACACTTCAGAAACTTCCCTTGATGAACATTCAGAAATAAAGAGGAAGCAGAGGGACATGATCTGCTGTTAAAATGCCTGCAGCTCATCAAGTCAAGTATAGCCTCATTTGGTTGATCACATGTAAAGCCTGCATGCATACGACAATAACTGAAGAATCTCACATGAGTCTTGTTATTTACTGGTTTTTATTCCTCTTTGAATAACTGTTTATCATATTATTCAGAGATCACAATTCATGTATTCACAAGTAAATTAAGAATAATGCTACTGCGTAAAGCAAACTATTGAAAAGCATTTAAAAACTTGAAATTCCTCCTGTCTTAAAGACTGACAAATGTTTTAAATGACACATTTAAATTCAATACCTGTTTTGTTTCTTAGACCATCATTGTCAAAAAACATTCACAGGTGCACGGAAAACACAATAGCAGTCTGATAAACTCATAAAGCCCCCAGAAATTCAGAGCTGAATACTTGCTGTTGTTATCTCTAATAGGAAGACCATACTTCCACATTAGTAAATTACTTGTTTACATTTACTTTTAGTGGAGAGGATTTTGCTATAGCGGTGTATGGTGCAAAATCTGACCAACAGGAAATTCACACTTTACAAACACCAATTTATACTGTCATTCCCACAGATCTTTTTTGGCCTGCCAGACCAAAGGGTTCAACTGATGGAACTCAAAGAAACTCAGCATTCACTACAGAGATGTGTTTAAGCCAAAGCAGGTTAATACATGTCTGTTTTCTAGAATTTTTAAATATTCAGTTTAGGCAGGAGATAATGTTATGGAGTACACACTGGTCCATTCTATTCCCTAATACAGAACTATATTTAGTGCTCATCATTTTAAAATTCAGGTATGAGGCCACAGCATTAGTGAATTTACTCACCATTAAAAAAACTCCTATTTTTTCTTTTCTATGAATTACAGTAGACACAAACTGCACCTGTTCCTGTATTAGTAAATTACAGATTCCCTGATCTTTTGGATAAGACTTTATACCCCAAAATTTTGCCATATGTTTTAAGCTAAAATTTAATAGAAACATTTTCAAAAAGATGTTTTGATACTTACACTGATATAATCTTAAATAGGACCATCTTTAAAAGCAGAAAATGTTTACAACATTACAAAACCCTCAAAGTCAAAGTAATATTGGAGAGTCCATGTTGCTGGGAGACATGCTACTACACATGCTGCTTGAGCATTTCTTTTTATGCCAATTTAGAGAGCATTTCAAGCAAAAATTTTTTTTTTCAGAAAAAAAAAAAACAGCCACCACCACACAACCCAGACCAGTCCTTTCAACAGTGACAGCTGTTTATGTAGGAATAAACAATAGATGCTAGGATAGAGACAGTGTACACTGGCAACAGAAATAGTGGGCTAGAAAAACTATGCATAGAAATCTAATTTTATTTCAAGTGTCAAAAAGGCCACTGTGAAGAGCAATTCAACTATCTGTCATCGATTTATCTTTGATCTTCTCTTTGACACCTTCTGTGGTCAAGTCCCTGTCAGCTGAAGGGTGCCTCCATTGATGAAAAGAAGTGAGATTTCTGGTTTAGAGACCACCAGAAATGATTCCTACTTAGAAGCGACTCCTACTTCAATTAATTAAACACAAAACAAAATTTTATCCCAGGCTTTCAAAATAAGGAGAAATTGGTTATTCACAATAAAATTCAACACTAACAGAATGCTTTACATAACAAGAACATCACAACAGTAAAAATGCAGAATATAATCCAGTATTTCATTAATCAGAAAGACACATGAAATAAACTGCAATTAACTACTTGGAATTTCTCCAGGATTTTCATTAATAGGATTAACATCCCGCTTCTGATGAAACACATACAAGAACTTTTAACCAGCTCAAGAGGTCAAGACTTCATTTTGGTTTGTCTCTCATTTAGAAAAAGACAGCACCAGCAATCACTGCGAAACTTCAGCATAACAACACCCTAAGTCCCTTGTTCTCTACAGATTTATGGCCAAGTCTACCATATAGACGTTTCAAAGGTAATTTTCTGTGGCACATAGATTTAGCTTGGATCATCAGTCAGGATCATCACAAGAGAAAAGAGAATGATCACTTTCAGCAAAACGTGCTGAAATTCAAGCTGACTCTTTTATTTTTCACGGAATATTCTGAGTTGAAAGGGACCCACAAGAACCATCGAGTCCAACTCTTAAGTGAAGGGCCCATACAGGGATCAAACCCACAATGTTGGCATCATTAGCAGCATGCTCTAACCAACTGAACTGATCTCAGGGTTTTATTAACACATGAAGAATTTTTGGTTGCACACTTATTAGTAGAAGAGTGTGTTTGGGGTTTTTTAATTAAAAGGACAAATACATAAATAAGGCTGCTGAGAGGAATAAAGAACATCTGGTCCAAAACACAGGTATACCTATCTCTCACATTTGGTCTTTTCCCTGTCACTTGCATGGGGCAAGGAAATGAGGGGTTTTTTCCCTCCAACTTAAGGTGTTACCAACAAATTGGACACATATGTGACCAATGTAGTATTACAGCTGGACTTCAAAAGAAAAAGAAATGTGCACTCTGGCTGATATTCTTTACCAGAAAACAACATTAACTGGAATTACACTAGAAACAGGACTGAAAGTAAAGGAATTTTTGCAACTATATCCCAAGTTTTCTAAATAAAGTAGCTTTGATTTTGAAATTCATTATCTTTTTCTAAACTCCAAAAATATCCCCACTCTCCCCCCCATCTATCACAATATTATCAAACCCACTTGTACATCACCATAATTAACTCAAAAACTCTACAGTTGCATCATACATCAAGTCTTGTGGAAAACCCTAGGAACATAACTCTTGATTAAGTCATGTGTTCTGGCCTTTTTTTTTGGTCAGGTATGGAACATGTGCTATGCACCAGCATCTAAATTACCAAGTAGCAATCCTGCACCCCTGAGCAGTTGCTGTCATCATTATTGTTAATCAGGACAGCATGCTATTACCCTCTCTTCTGTCTACAGTCATGGGTTGAATGTATAGGAGAAAACAGACTAGGTAGAAATGACAGAGGAAGTCTCTCAACAAACCTCAATTTACACACTCTTAAGCCACAGGATCAGCCCCCTTCAGGTCCATAAAAACACCCTATGGATAGTGACTTCAAAGTACTATTAGATGGAAAATTGGACATGAGCCGGCAATGTTTGCTCACAGCCCACAGGGCCAACCATACCCTGGGGTGCACCAAAAGCAGAGTGACAAGCAGGTCAAGGGATGTGATTCTGCCCCTCTGGAGCACTGCATCCAGCTCTGGGGCCCCCAACATGAGAATGACATGGAACTGTTAGAGTAGGTCCAAAGGAGGGCTACGAAAATGAAAGGGAAGTAACACCTGCCATGAGGAAAAGCTGAGAGAGTTGGGGTTGTTCAGCCTGAATAAAACAAAACTCCAGGAGACTTTATTGCAGCTTTTCAGTACCTAAAGAGGTCTTATAAGAAAGATGGGGACAGGGATTTTAGCAGGGCCGGTTGTGATAGGACAAGGTAATGTTGTCAACTAAAACAGGGAAGATTCAGACTAGATATAAGGAAGAATTTTTTTAGGAGGGTTGTCCGGAGAGGTGGTAGATGCCCCTGAACATTCAGGGTCAGGCTGGATGGGGCTCTGAGCAACCTGGTCTCATGGAATATGTCCCTGCTCACTAGGGAGAGGGAGGGAGGTGGCAGGGGTAGTGGTGTTCAACTAGATGACCTGTAGAAGGTCCTCTCCCAACCCAAACTATTGTATGAAAAATTATAATACTGTGAACACTGCATAACACATAAGGCAATCATACCCCCAGTTTATTTCCAGCATTTTTAATACCCTGTTCACATTCAGAAAACCCTTCCTAATACCAGTTTTTCAGAGGTCATGAAGCTAAACTAAAAAAAAAAACACACCACAAAAGCCCCCAACCATAACCCCCTCAAATGAACTAATTTCTTTCTATTAACCAATTGCTTCAAAGAATCAGCTTCTTTGTGTATATTTGTAACTTGTTTTCAGAAGCTCATTATACATATCTTGTTTCCATGGAAATAACAAAACAAATACATCACTTTCATTTTCCAAGTGTTACCAGTTCAAACAACTTGTCTACAATAAAGTATGCCAAGGGTGATCACTCTACCTCCTCTCTTAGGTTCAGCACTCCAGAGAATTAATATAGACCCAAAAAGAAGATAAAATACTTTAGATTTAAAAAATATTAAAAAATCAGACACTGGAAATGAAAATTAAAACTGACCAGAAAATGAGACAAAATGGAAAATAGTAACAAAAGAGGGAAGGTGGGGGAGAAAAAAAGGCTTTTACAAAACCAGACATCATAAAGTTGGCCACCTCAATGAAAAGAACAAAATATATATGAGGGACATTAATAATAAAACTTTTTAAAGCCCTGTACTTTATTATGACACAAAGAAGCCTTTATATTTAGAAAGGATTCATTCTTACATACCATTCTATTTTAAGCTCTGCTTCTTACAAAAAACAGAATTACCCTAATGCATCATCCTTCAGTGGCAGAAACAGTGTGTTCGTGGTACACTAATGACAGCCTCCTGTATCTATGCCTACATTTGGGAACAGAACGAACATACTCAGAAGAATTTTAGGAAGCTTCTCATCACTTCCCTTCCTTGATGGGTCTCTCCACATGTGACCACTACAAATGGGGAGGTTCTGAACTAAAGTCTGGAATCCTCAGTTTGCTCTTGGAAGCCCAAGTTCACATCTATAAAAGCATCAG